AGAACTGGGGGTCCTTACTACGCATGTATGGCCGTGAGAGCAGCAAAATGGTGAAGCAGGTAACCAGACTGTCAGGTGGTCCGGCAACTGCTCTGCTTCCCTTTTTCTTGCTTTGGAGCTTCTGTCTAGGGTTTGCTGTTAAGGTCAAGCTTTTGATTAAGCCTGTCTCTTCTGTGTTGTGCCAGTGATTGTGAAGACCAAGGGTGGGACGCCCAAGCTACTCCTTCTTGAATCTGCCAAGTATTTAAGTATGAACTATTAGGGGCACAGCTAGAGCACCAGGCCTGCCATACACCAGACAGTAGGTGCAGGCAGTGAACACCACCTGGTGCTGAATTGTGTGAAGGCTTGGGGGCTGTCATTTGGCAGTTCCCAAGACAGTATATCCTTGTTTAGTTGAAGATCTCAGTGGCTTACAGAATATGAATATTGCCTGCTTTGTTTCTGTGGCTTTTACCCAGTTCTCAAAATTTAAATCAATCTCTAAACCGAATGAGTATGGGGAAGTACTGGGAAGTGATTGTTGGCTATTTCTTTTTTGAAGTGCTAAGGATGGAACCCAGAGCCTTGTACATCTAGACAAATGCTCTACTACTGAGCTACATCACCAGTATTTTTACCTTTTCCCTTAGTATGTGTAGAGACTCCCTGGATCATTAGGATCCCATCATTTAGAGAAGTATAGGTGGTGACCATGAAGACTGCTGTGGACCCTTGAGCCAACCAATAGTCTGGAGCAGTGTAGCATCCCTTTGGGTTTTATCAACCCGAGGCCTGGCACTGTCCTTGCTCTGGGCTGGCAAGGCAGGGGTCCAGGAGCCACATGGAGAATATAAACAGTATAAGGCTCCTTCTCCTTTTCCTGCTTCCTTTCCATCCTTACTGCTGGGGATTGTGTGTGGGGCTTTGTGCAGGCTAAGCAAAGGCTATACCCCTGAGCTGTATCCCCAGCCTTAATAGAAGCATTTTCTGTGAGTTGAAATGGAGGTGCAGTATTTGCTGTACAGAGTCCTGGGCTGAGACAGAGGGAACATCTTTGCAACCATAGGCAGAGGCTTTCTTTACCTGGAGGGTGAATGGCCCTTGAGTTCTGGCATGCCAGCGAGCACCTTGCCTGTGGCCTCTAAGGCAAGAAAGGACCAAAGAGAACGGCTCTTTGGCTGTTGTGTCTCAGTTGCTTCAGCCATGCTCTTGCCACTGTCTTGGGGTTCCTAACAGTGACTGCTTGACTTTCATACTCAGCCAGTAAACACAGGTGTAATCATGGAGGAAGGGACAGAGTTCTGGGAAAGGCCAGGGAGCCCAGGGCTGTTCTTATACCCTGTATCTGTCAGCAGCCAAGGCCTCATTACAGGTGGGCCACTGGTGTGCACTTCTGTGCCCCACCAGGACCTTACGCTCCTGTTTTGGGTGGTCATGAGCATACTGCTGCTTGGCAGTTCTGAGAACAGGCTTTGGGTCCCTAGGAGACCTCTGACAAGAGTGTGATAGAGCTACAGCAGTATGCCAAGAAGAACAGGCCCAACCTCCACATCCTGAGCAAGCTGCAAGAGGAGATGAAGAGGCTGGCTGCAGAGCGGGTGATTATCTCCCTTTCTCACCTCTTCCCCAGGCTACCTCCCTCCCCACCCTCCAAACTCACCATCTAATCCTGCAGTCCCCTGTATTGCCCATACCACAATTACTAAGTCATCAGGATTGCTGGGTCAGCTTCTTTCTTGTAGCTCAATCTTAGGAGCCCATTTTTGATCCCTGACTCTGGAGATGCTTAATCCTTCTTCCAGATGAGGTTGGCCTTTAAGTTCTAGCATCTATGGCGCTTTCTGAAAACATCAAGTAAGAGAGCAGACAGGCCAGCCTTTTAGTGGCTAAAGGTTCCGATTTGGAGTCAGGTATTTCGAGGACAAGGATTGTGCACCGGCCTTGTGCTTGATAACTCAAAGATCATAGAACGGTTAAGCCCGGGTAGAACTTGGTCTTGATGAAGCTTCCTAAAACTGCCATAGGTGCCTTATCCCAAGTGGGCTCTGTTACTGACAGTTTCCTGCTCTGAGGAAATACCTTATAGCCACTCACACCCCTAGACTTTGAGTTGGGAGCCATTCTAGCTCTGACTTTGTCCCAGGTGTGAACACAGACTCTGAGGACCAAGTGTCTGTTGCCCTTTGCCTTTCTACTGCTTTCAGGTGGGGGTGGGCCTTGTCTGCTGGAGGAACTAGCTTGACTCTTTGGGAGATTAGTTATGGGGATTAAGGCAACAGGCTCAAGGCACACAGTTCTATTTGTGGGGGAAATTCACTGGGCTGCCGGGCAAGCAAGGCTAGGATGACACTCACCCTGGAGGGGTGGATCCCAGCTTGTTGCAAATTCTTCCATTCTGGGTGTCTCTAGATTGCTAGGGAAGCTGCAGCACATGGGAGTCTACCCTGGCATTCTGAGGAGACCCTTCTGGCCTGGCCCAACCCAGCCCGCTCCCTGTACCTTCCCTCCTAGCCAGGTATCACAAGGCTTCCACACTTTCACCCTTGTGAATCTCATTGCTGGGCCCACCTCTAGCATCATTGACCTCTGTTCTTCCAGGAGGAGACTCGGAAGAAGCCCAAGATGTCAATTGTTGCATCTGCCCAGCCTGGTGGTGAGCCCTTGTGCACAGTGGATGTATGAGGTAGGCGGCATGGGCCAACAGTGCTACCCAGGAGACCATCAGCCACACATCATCACTGCAGCACCAGGCCTCCAACCTAAGTTCCTTTCCTGTGGCAGTGTCGGCTCTACTCTGGCACACGGGGACAGCTGTGACAACACAGCACACATGCAAAGAAGCAGTTCTTCTGGAAACTGCTCTGTGTGACTTGATATATTAAGGATCAGCTATAAGTAACTACACAAGTGGAAGCTGGTAGACAGCTGTAGATCCTGCTTGTACGTATCTGCTGCGGACTGTTTTTATGAAGGTTTTCATGAATTTTAGTACACTATATGCACTGACAAGAAGTGATGCTTGGTTGATAGATGAGATGACCAGGATTTATAGCTTTGGCTGGCCTATGATGCCAGGTAGCCCCTTTGCTCATAGTTCCTTCTTGTGGAGCCACTGAGACCTGGTCAGAAGGTGCAGGTATCCTGTCCTGTAGTATTACCTGCTTTGTGTGTTTCCCATTTTCCTCTGAAAAAGTTATAATAGAAAGGATTATTTCAGGCTATTTTGGCTTAAAATAAAACAAAATTTTAGCAACAGAACTACTTTTCAGAGATTGCATAGTGAAGATACTGAACTGTCAAGATACTGAGTGTTAATCTGGTTGGCTCTTAGGTTGCAGTCTACTTCTTTTGATGATGTCTTAATGCCCTAACAGCTGTCTTCTGGATACCCAAGCTCCCACCTTCAATAAACTCTAGCAACACTTTTCTACAAAGATTTTTGCACAATCAAGTCCATCTGTTGATCAATTTTTAAAGCTTTTATGATGTTTTAGAATTTGGAAAGAAACTTTTACATTGAGAGTGGAAGACAGATTTAGAATCTTGCGTTTCAACAGATGGACTTGTGTAAATAGGAAACAGGGCCTTCAGTGTAGCCCATCCCTGACCAAGAGCTGGCACTGCACATGACAAGTAGTTATGGCTTCTCTGGATCTCAAGGGTGGCTGCTGTGTACATACACCAGGCCTGGTGTCAGGTTTAGTCTTTGCCACCCATGCTCACAGGATAGCCATGGAGAAGGGTATTGAGTAGAGGTATATTGAGAGCACAAGTCTTGGTCAAGAGTTACCTACCCCAATACCTGCTCAGAGGGGCTGCAATCTTATATTCTCAGTGTGTCTTTCACCTGTACCTGAAGTTACATGGATGGCATGTGTTGTCAGGAAGACAAAATGGCAGGTATGGGCATCCCAACACTATATTCCTACCCCCCCACCCCTGGTCACCTGTGTGGTAGCAGTTAACTTCTGTGTTCATCTTGGCAAGAAGAACCCTCCAAATCAAGTTGCTAGAATTGGACACTTGATTCCTTTTTCTTGCCTCCCATTCAGTTGTGATCAGCCTTTTGACTGACCCCAGATTTGCCATTGGGAAAGCCTTAAGCACATGGTAATGGTGATGATCTCTAGCTGCACTGGCCCAGGCAATGTCAACAACAGGTGCTGCCACACACTCCCCCTGTCTCTTACAGGTGGGTGAGTTTTAAATGCACAGCCATGTTATAATGCTGCAAGCCTGTGTGGATGCTGGCCATGGTTGTAGGGTGCACCCTGATGGTCTGAACACATAAAACTGTCCAAAAGGGAACGGCTGGTTTCTTTCTTCTGATTAGAGTGCTGGATGTTTGTGGATGTTCAACTGGCCAGGACAGTCCTGGTGTCAGTTGTGTTTTTAAGTGCCATGGTACACAGTTACCCCATGTGAACTCAGCATAGATGGTGTGTTCAGTAGTTGCTACCTACAGGGGCCATCCTCAGTACTCACTCCTTTGGCAGACATCTTTAATCCCAGTACTCGAGTTATAGGCCAGCCTGGTCTACATAGAGATGCTGTCTTAAACATGGAAGCACAGGGTGGTGGCACCGCAGGCCTGCAATGCTACAGATCCTCCCTAAGTCTTTCTTTAGTTCTTTACCATATATCTCTTCTAATATAAAAACCTTTTTACCTGCTGGAATATGGACACTTGTACTTTTACACCTGTAAGGTGTAATCTATCTCTAATAGATTAGAGACTAGATGTCATGCTCCATATTAATATATTTGTGTCACTCCCCTGCCTTATAACGCCAGTCCGTGGCACTGCAACACTGGGGAAGTTGAATATGAAAGATCTTGAGTTCAAGAAGGTCAGCTGAAGACTGAGTCTCTAGTCCTTCCTGCCTCTTTCTGAAAGGACTGGCCAGGCCTCAGCCTGAGGACTTGGCAGACTGAGGTCCTCTGCTACCCTACTCTTCTGTACCTTAGTGGGTGGCGAGTAGGAATGACTCAAAGCTCTGGCTGTCACCACAAAAGCATCAGCAAATCAGCAATCATTTATTCTGGAGTCGGGCTGTCCCATTACAGGACACAGGTGTTGGTAGTACCAGCTAGGTCAGTCTCCTGCCCACCGCTGTTTGCCTGCCACCCTCTGCTTAGTAGGGAGCTGCAAGGAGCTTTCAGCTTTTGTTCTGTACTTCTGCAGTTCCCAAGACCTCGGATGAGAGGGAAGTCTCTGTTTCCTTTGGGGTGGCATCAGGAGGATTTCTTGGGGTTTGAGAGTCCTGATGCCCCAGGGCTCCTATGCCGTTAGGGTGTTGTTCCATCCTCTCAAACAGGATGAGCATCTCGCAGTGTGGAGTCTGTGGGAATAGGTCCACGGCCACAGCCTTGACTGGACGGAATGGGATGCCTTTTACTCTGTTAGATGGGGCCCTGCAGAGGCTGTGGTGGGAAGGAGGTACCAATATTAGCACCAGAGGTTCCTGTAGGTGGCAGATAGGTGTGTCATCATCTCCTCCCCATCCCCCCAAAACACCCCACTTACTCCACAAAGTTGCCCATGGCTGCCCGGGGATTGCAGGAAACATACAGGAGTCGCTTGATGTTCTCAGCTCTACGAATGGCCAGAATCACCTTGGAATCTGGCAAAAGCACAGAGGGGCTAGTCTCTCCTAGTGGTGGACTACCCAATATAGCTTTTTTTTCTTCTGGTGCTACCTCCCCAAATGGAAGCCACTTACGTAGGCCTGCCCGTGGTGGGTCTAGGACAGCTACAAGTTGCTGGGAGGACAGTCTGCTCACCAAGCCCGGCACAAGATCCTCAGCCCTGCCGCAGTGGAATTCAACGTTGTTCAACTCTAGAAATAGTGTCATAATTGTCACTGGACTCTGGGTCAGCCAGGCACTGGGAGGGCCTAACAGGCTTAGAGAGCACACAGCACCCCCCTCCAAAGCTTTTCTGTTTCCAGCCAGAAGTCTACAGGCCCCTCAGTGCCCCACTCCCCAGAAGGCCCCCAAAACCTCAATACAGATTGTAGATACAGTAACTGAAGTGTACGACAGAAGTCCTGCTGTGACAGAGTTCTCACCATTGGTACGGGCATTCACACGGGCATCCTCCACAGCCTCCTGGCACAGCTCAATCCCAACTACTCTCTTCACTTTCTGAAATAGATAAGCCAGAGACAGCACAACTGGGTTATATCTGGGATGTGATAGTAGCTAGCCTCAGCCTTCACACTCATGAGCATCAGTCAGTAAGGAGATGTCCTACTTACCCGGGCCAGGGCCAGGCCTATGGTGCCAGTGCCACAGCATACATCCAGCACGGTACTGCCCCCATCCAGCTGAGCCCATTCCTGGATGACTGTGTAGAGCACTTCAGCTGCAGGTGTGTTTACCTGGAGGTTAGTTAGCCATAGTGTACTCCAGTGTAGGCTAGCACCCCACACTGCCTGGATCCCCACCTCCATCAGTGACCTCATCCACTCTCCTGACTTTTAAAAACAAAATCCTTACTGAATGGGGAGTTATCTTCCCTGGCTTCACAACTCCCTCCCCAGGCCAACTCAGAGTGACTGTGTACCTTAAACTACCAAACCCTTGGGATCTCCCCTCCATCTCCATCGTTTTGTACAGCAGCGGGAGAGGCTCACGCGCTAAGATCCTGCTACCATAGTGTCCTGTTCTCGGTTGGGCAGGGCCAGTAAGGCCACTGTATCATTGGGTTAACCACAAGTCAGTCAGAGGCAAATTATCCCTTTCTTATCCTAGGGCGCCCCCACTACCTAGATGTTCTCTATAATCTCTTCAAGCCTCATTACTATTCTCCCTTCCCACCACATCTGCCATCACACTCAGCTTCCCTGTCTTTGTGTTCATAAGGGGCACACTACCTGGAAGAATGCGTGAGGGGAGATACGGAAGGTCAGCCCCAGCAGGTCCTCCTGGATGCACTGGTCACCAGCCATATGCTCCAGGGGCAGGCCTTCCTGGCTGGGAGTCTTCCTACACGAGAAGCAGATGATCAGTGTCACTGGCCTATTTGTAGACCCTTCCTGTCCCCACCTGGGCTCCTCACCTCTGTCCCTCTTCCACAAAGTAGAGGCAGGTCACCCCACTGGCCTTGCCTGGCCCTTCCATGAAGTGGTACACCAGGGAGGCCTTCAGCCCTGCCAACTCCTCCGAGCTCAGTTTCTGTAGCAGAGGATGCAAAAAGCCCATCAGGCTAAGCAAAAACCAGTAAGACCTCCCCCAACAAGACCACTGTCTGAGACCTGGGGGTGGAAGTAGGCAATGGCCATGGCCTGGCCTCTGCGGCTGGTACGAACAGTCAGCTGCTTCCAGTGGCCTGTATATGTCTCAGGGTCATATGCCGAGTATGGGGTGGACCTGAGGAAGCCACAAATGTCTCTGAGTACCTAGTGTATGTGCCTGTCTGTCCCAGCACCCTGCCCTCCCTCCACCGCCGGGCAAGGACCCCAGCCCCAGGACAGGTCCCCACCGAATGAATTCCTGGAAGGCCTTCACCACCTGCTTCGTGGCCTCTGGAATGTGCACAGTGTCAAAGGGGGCCGCCACAGCACAGGTTCCGCCCTTGTACTTGCCGAGCCTGCAGCCAACCGTGTTGTCTTCTCCATCCACCCCAACTCCGACCAGAAACTCACACTTATTGCGGTATTCAGTCTGCAGGAGAGAAGGTGGCAAAGAGGCAGCCAGGTCTCAACCTTGATTGCCAGCACCAAAAGAAACATGGTGATAGGAGTGGCAGGCAAAGCAAGGTTTTACTGCTGGCTTATCAAACCCCGGGAAGAACTGAAAAGCAAGAAATGGCAAAGAGGATAAGGAAAGACTATAGAGAGCAGGGTGATGGGCTGGCCCAGCAATAAAGTAGATGCCCAATGTGTGAGGCCAACCTCCCGCTCCCCACACATAGAACGGGATTTCGTAGTCAGCCTGACCTGCTGGGGTGATGGCCTGACCCCCTCCAGTGGGCAACAAGCCTTATTATGCTGTTGTCTCTGTGTGAGCAGCCAGGGTAGCAGGGCACGGTTGGTGCTCCCAATTTCCCTGTAGGATGAAGCACATCATGGCTGGATTTACACTGTTCCCCATCCACACTGGGCGGCTCCCTTGAGACCTCACTATCACACTGGTATCAGGGCATTACTAGCCAGCTCCCTGACCACTTAGACCAGAGGTTCTCAACCTTCCTAATGCTGTGACCCTTGAATAACAGTTCCTCATGTTAGTGCTGACCCCTAACCATAAAATTATTTTGGTGTTACTTCATAACTAATTTTGCTACTGTTATGAATTGTAAATATGTTTTCCAGTGGCTTTAGGTGATCTCTGTAAAAGGGTTGTTTGGCAGCCCCTCCCCCGCCCCCCAAGAGGCTAAGAACACTTAGACCCTGTGTGTGTCCTAATACAGTACAGGGCTGGTGGAGCAGGCCAAGCTTGCAAAACCCAGCTTCTATGGTAGGGATGTCAGTGCCACTCACTTGGCCAGTTTCTGCAGCACCCGTTCACATTCCAGCCGTTTCTGCTCCAGCTGCTCAGAGTAGGGTACTGTCCAAAGCGGGGTCACCACGTCGGCAATTTGCGTAGCTGTTGGCTCACTATCGCCTTCCTGCCGCCTCTTTCTAGCCATGGGGTCAGCCTTGGGTCGGGCCAGGCGCACGCTGAGGGGGCGGCCTTTCCAGAGAGCACCGTGCAGCACTCGCAAGGCCTTGTCTCGTTCAGCAGCGCTGCGAAATGTTACAAAGGCACAAGGTGGCTGTCCAAAGAGTTTGATCTTGTGGGATTGTAGGCCAAATCGGCCCAGAAAGCGCCGGACGTCACTGAAACTGGCATGGCGAGGCACATTTTGCAGCTCCAGTTTAAAGATCTCGGAGGTGAACAGGTCATCCCTTATGTAGCCGTAGAGCCCAGGCTGAGCTCCAGGCCCGGCAGCTGGTCCAGGCCCCTCTTCCTCGTGACATCCCGGGGCTGCAGGGCTGTACGCCGCACTGGCATCCGGGCCGCAGGCCTCCATGTGCTCCCCAACCTGTGTGCGACAGGCAGGGGCCGGGCTGAAGGCTGCCCCGGGACGACGACCGCCCCGCCGCGGGCTTGCTCCCTAAGCCCTGCCCGAACCCGCTCCTTCCCCCCGAGACCCATTCCCCATCCTAGCGCTGACCTAACCCCACCCCGTCCGCATGGGCTGCACGTCTCTCCCTTTGCTTTACTTCCGTGTCCAGCTTCTCACTCATCGCCGGGCTCGTCTGTCGCCCGACCAGGCTGTCACGAGGCCACCACCTCGGTCTCTCCCACACGAAGTGCTCCGAATACAGGTTACGCAGGAGGGCTACTCCAGACTCGGTGCTCGGAGCCGGCACTGGAGCCTGGGCACGCACCGCTCGCTCCCCCGGAAGCGGCGAGGGCCACGCGTCGCGCCTGACTCCCGTCGGCCAGGGCACACGAGCCGAGCCTGGCTTCTCCACGGGCTTGGCTTCCGATGACGTCACCGCCACGCGCCGCGTCCTGCCCCATCCCTGCAGCAGCCGCTTGCGCTGACGTCAGGGGCACTCGGGGCTTGCAGGCGGAAGTGCGCGCGAGGGTCGCCGGGAGAGCGCGCTCCCCAGGCTGAGGCGCGGCCGGGCATGCGCCGCGGGCGTTTTGGCGGGAAGCGCGGGGCGGGCCGGACAATGAATGTCCGCCGTCAGAGCCAATAAAGCTGCAGTGGTTTTGAATCACGGCGCGTTTCCCGCCGCTGGGGTCAGGGGTCAGGGTTCGGGTCGGGGGGCGGAGGGAAGAGCGGACGGGCGGGAGACGCCGGCGCCAGACGCGAAGGAAGAGGAGCCGCGACCAGTCGCTCGGAGGCCGCCGAGCCAGCGACGCCTGAGCCAGTAGAGCCGCCGTCGCCGCGCCCCCATGGCGGCCGCCAAGGTACGGCGAGGCCCGGGTGGGGCCGGGCAGGCCGGGAGGCAAGGGCCGCTATGGGCGGCCACGTGGGCGGCCCGCGCCTCGGCCGCCAACCCTCGCTGGCCTGCGGGTTCGGGGCCTGTCGAGGCGCCCGGGCCTGGGGGGCTCGAGGACCCGGGGTTCCGGGAGCGGGCGCTGCTGGCCAGGGCTCGGGTCTCGGGGGCTGCGTGCGGGGCGGCGCGTGACCTTGTGGCGTGCAGAGGCGCAGCCATCACCGCAGCGGGCTCCCGGCTGTACCCGGGCATGTGGCCGCGGCCGCCGGCTTCCTGCGCCGGGGCCCCCTGTGATGCCCCCGCTGGCGTCGGAGACCCTTCTCCGGTCCCCACAGAGCCCTTCATTCATTGGGTCGTTACGCCGGGAAGCGCCGCCGCCATCGGTGGCGGAAGCTCGCTCTTGAGCGCGGGCAGAGATGGTAGACGCGGGACTCGGGGCGGGGGCGGCTTTGTTGGTGGCTCGTGTGTCGGCCGCAGCGGAGCCGCGGTGCTGTGAAACCGAAGGGCTTCTATTTCTTTATCCTGTGGAGTTCGGTAGTGAGAGTCGGGGTTTTTCTGTATTACCAAAGCACGTGATCTTGTCAGATTTAAATCTGCATGCCCTTGTAATCCTTCAAGTTGGGCCAGAATCTTAGGGCATATTTGTCAGACTTTTCTTAGCTTCTTTCAGCTTGGGTTTCCTTTCAGCTTGTGTAAAATTTCTGGAGGAATTGTAAATTCGTGTAAATGCTAATGGTCCTATAGTTTATTTTCCTGGTTTACAAGTGCTTGGAGAATCGTCAGTACAAATGTTAAGGTTGCTCTTTTGAGTTCATCACGTTCTTTACATGTCGGGTATAATTTTCATTTTACAGAGGAGGAAACGAGTTTCTCCAGCTGCTTTGCCAAGGACTCTGGTGTGTGTGTGGAACTGATTGATGTCTGAATGTGCAGGGAGGGGATGTTAAATAAAATCCATTGTCTTGTTGCGTGCTATCTTCTGAGTTTTGTGATGCTGGTTGTAGCCCACTGGTGATGTGAAAGACTGGAGACTCAATTTCCAATTTAGGGGAGGCCTGTCTTCCTCTTCCAGGCGCCATTTGTGATTAGTGATGCCCGCTGTGGGCCAGGCTCACCAGCCAGCGGCTTCACTTCTCCCCTCTCTGCACAGGACAGTCATGAGGACCATGACACCTCCACAGAGAATGCAGACGAATCCAACCATGACCCCCAGTTCGAGCCGATAGTTTCTCTTCCTGAGCAAGAAATTAAAACACTGGAGGAAGATGAAGAGGAACTTTTTAAGATGTAAGTCTGCTGAGGTGTCCCTGGAGGTATCTTTAGATGGGCTGACTGAGACAGAAAGAGAAATGGCCTGATAATATAAACAGGTGTCCGCAGGGCATTTCTTTTAAAACTTGAGAAACCCACCAACCACAGTGGGACCATGGTCTCTGCTTTCTGGAGGAGCCAGCCAGCCAAGCTGGGAACTCTTGTGTTGGGTGTTTTTTCACTTGTGCTGGGGTATAAGCCCTAGTGATACTCTGTGACATTAGCCTCTGTGATTTCTACCTGGAACTTTGCAGAAGAGTCCTAGGTTGGCTGGGCACATGTGATACCTGTGAATGTCATTGGCCCCGTTTGATACAGGCTATTTGAAGAAAGGACCTGGAGTTGTACGGTGACTAGCCTTACATTGAAAATGGGACCATTCATCTGCCACCTGGGGGTCCCCCAGCTGATCTTGCACCTTGCCTCCACGAATCCACAATTCCAGTAGGCTGTGGTGGCGCACACCTTTAATCCCAGCACTTGGGAGGCTGAGGCAGATAGATCTCTGTGAGTTTTAGGTCAGCCTGGTCTACAGCGCGAGTTCCAGGACAGCCAGGGCTACACAGTGAGACCTTTTCTTGGGGGTGGTGGCTTCTTCCTCTGTTAAGCAGGGAATCTTAACTTTTCTTCCCTTTTCTTTCTTTCTGCTTTGTTTTTTGTTGCCTTAGCTGGGTATCCTTAAAGAACGGGTTTGTTTAGATATTCGTGTTTTTTTTTGTTTGTTTTGTTTTTTGTTTTTGTTTTTTTTAATTTTTATATGTGTATGGGTGTTTTGCCTACATGGATGTCTCTACACAATGTGCAGCCTGGTGCCCAAGGAGGCCAGAAGAAAGCAGCGGATCCCTGGGGACTAGAGTTACAGACAGTTTTGAGTTGCCATGTGGTCCTCTGGAAGAACAGCCAGTGCTCTTAACTGCTGAGCCATCTCTCCAGCCTCCAGCTCATGGTTTTGCAGGTTAGGAAGTCTGAGATCTGAGAGCATAGTGCTAGCACTTGGTATGGGCCTCAGTTACATCTTAATGTAGCAGTGTGTCATGTAGTAAAATCAAGGAGCTTGCTAACTTCAGTCTTTCTTTTACATATCCACTAGTGCCATTGTTTAGTCCGGTCCTCGGTCCTCATGAGTCCATCTAACCCTCTTACCTTCTAAAGGACACTTCTAAATACTATTAATGTGAATTTGGAAATTGAGTTAATGCCTAAACTATAAGGACACATTCAAACCATAGTAGACAAATTCAGCTACCTACAGCCTATGTATTCCTGGTTCTGTGTCTTCCACAAAATGCCAGTAGAAGTGGCTTAGTAATCAAAATTGCTTTTTAAAAAATTACCGCCGGGCGGTGGTGGCGCACGCCTTTAATCCCAGCACTCGGGAGGCAGAGCCAGGCGGATCTCTGTGAGTTCAAGGGATCTCTGTGAGTTCAAGGCCAGCCTGGACTACCAAGTGAGTCCCAGGAAAGGCGCAAAGCTACACAGAGAAACCCTGTCTCGAAAAACCAAAAAAAAAAAAAAAAAAATTACCATGTGTTTGCCACTTGGAACCTTCAATGAGGAACTGTAGCAGTACTTGAGTAACTTTGGTTTTGCTGTTGTCTTGTTTTACTGGCCTGGTGATTGAACACATGCCAGGCATGTACTATCTCCAGCCAGTGCCCCCCAAGTCATACACACTTGGTCTTGAACTTGCCGTTCACCTGCTTTAGCTTCCTTAGTACCTGGGATTACAGGCCTGTTCCATCAGGCCCCGATGGCTGAGCACAAGCTGTCTTGTATCTGGCTTCACATCACTGCAGAGACTGGCTGCTTGTTGCCTGTGCTCAGAACTGCTCCGCACAGGGTTCGGGTGCATCCTAGCAAAGGTGTTGCTGCCCTTTCAGGTGTGCCTAAGATGTGGGGGAGGGCGGCCTGCTCAAGGAAAGCTGTAAGCACACCTTTGTACCCAGAAGGTGGTGGGCCAGAGCTCTGTCCCGCAGCCCTGGGCAAGGGTGGCATCCTCTCGAGTTATGTGCTATTTGGTTTTGTCCATGCAATGCTGAAAGGACTCCTGATTTCCTGTGCAGGGTCCTTGGTATAGCCCTGGAGACCAACATCTGGTGCCTCACATCAGGGCCTTTGGGCTCTCTTAAGGAATTGGGTGGTGATGTGTTGCTTGACAGAGTTTGGAGGAGAACAGAGGCTTTGGTGGAGGAGACAGATGAGGGCTGCGAATGAAGGGTGTTGGCCCAGCTGGAGGGACAAGAGCACTGGACTCAGGGCTGGTGCTAGGTGCCTGAACCCTGGTGACTGAAAGGTTCCTCCTGACAGGAAGCTAGTGCTGGGCCTGTGGAGTAGACTATCCCTAAGACTTTGTATAGTTAAAGGGCACTCGTGTATTGTGACTGGGTCACCCAGCTTGCTGGAGCTTCTTTACCCACTCTGGGCCGTGTGTGCCCTTAGATGCCTCTTCTGGGGAGATGCGTCTGCTGCGAGTGTCTTTCTGGTTGTGAAGTAAAAGCAACAGGAGTGTGTCAGGCTCCCCGGGTGGTTTTTGACGAGTGATTCTTGGCGCCCAAAGGCTTTAGAAAAAAATAGTTGAGCCGGCGTTGGTGGCACACGCCTTTAATCCCAGCACTCAGGGAGGCAGAGGCAGGCAGATCTCTGTGAGTTTGAGGCCAGCCTGGGCTACAGAGTGGGTTCCAGGAAAGGCCCAAAGCTACACAGAGAAAAAAACCCTGTGTCGGGAAAAAAAAGAAAAAAGAAAAGGTATTTGGTGAGGGCCCAGTGTTCAACAGTACCCCATGTTCAGTGCCCAGATAACACATTCTTTGGGGGCAGTTGGTCCAGGTGTGAATTCCCTCTCTGTCTGACTGTTTCCTTACTGGCTTTTCTTACAGGCGAGCAAAGCTATTCCGGTTTGCTTCAGAGAATGACCTCCCAGAATGGAAGGAGCGAGGAACTGGTGACGTCAAGCTCCTGAAGCATAAGGAAAAAGGGACCATCCGCCTTCTTATGAGGAGGGACAAGACTCTGAAAATATGCGCCAACCACTATAGTAGGTGGTCTTTCAGGGCTATACACCCTGGAACTCCTAGGAGCTGGTTATCAGGGGAGAGAGGGATATGTTTGTCGTGCTTATTGACATGTTTAAAGTAAGTTTCTTTCAAACAAGCCTCTGAGCTATGACAGTGAAGCTTACAGAATGCTGCAGGCTGTGGGCAAGCTCCGTCTAGGTGGGATGTAGAGCTCCAGGGTGGACTGTCGT